AATTTTATGAATTTCAATTCACAGAAAAGATCGTATTTGGAAAGACGTGTATATACGTCATGGGCAATTAAAGTTTTGGCTCTGTGAAAGGTTTATATACACCAGTGGCGCTTAAGGTATCCGACTACGTTCGGAACCATGATTTTAAAAAAGCGCATAAATGGATAATTTTCATGATATTTAGTGTCCCTTTGTTTAGAATACATGTATAAAATTGTTTTAAGAACATTATGACAAAAAAAAATTATTTAAATACAATATTTCGGCAAAAAATTAACTTAGAATAACCTTTTTTCAAAATGTTCTCCTTTTGTGAAAAATGCTTCTATTATAATAATATTTTGCCAGTATATAGCTCAGACCTCTGTACAGAGGCTCATTTGTACATTTTGTAATCCAAGCGACACTAAATATCATAAATATTATCCATTTATACGCTTTTGCAAAATCATGATTCCGAACGTTGTCGGTTACCTTAAGAGGTTAAAGTCGTATTGTAACATCAGTGTCAAAGTATAGTATTATTGAATTCAATACATTGTTATTGTATGGAAGGGGGGAGGTTACGATGAAACTTATGATTGAATATTGGATCGCAAATATTGAAAGGAAATTTGAGAAACTTTATAATACAAGCATTTCTGTCATAATGTTAAAATACAAGAAAGATGGTTGACTGAAGTTGTATTAAAAACATTTAAATCGATAATAGCACATTTTGCTTTTGACGGGTTTTCTGATTCTCTATTCTAGACTAATCTTTTAATCTTTTCTTCCCTGAAACACAAAAAGATAAAATTATTGTGTCTAGACGGAGAACTAAATTGTTGTTTAATCTAGTAATGTGATTGGCTACGTAAATATTTTCTTGTTTCTTTCTCGGATTAATTGCATAAATGATGGGCTTAAAGGGAATATATTAGAAAAGTTTATTAAGCAAGATACTTAAAGAGCCAAATAAGAGAAAAAAATCAATTTTTTAAAAATAAAATTGGGGTTGTTTTACAAGATTTCCTCTTAAAAAGATTGTTTTTTTTTNTTTTTTTTTAAAGTAACGATTCCATTGAAGTTTCAGGTAGAGGCTGAGAAAATACAAGGAAAATCAATCTCTTTTTGATCATTTGAGCTTATTTTGATTGTGAATAATTTTTATTTGCATGTATATAATAATTCAAAGCCCTCCAAAACTAGAAAGAGTATCACTTTTATAAAAACTTTAAAAACAATTCTAAGGCAACCATTTTTGATTTTTTTTTATGAATCTTTTTTAATAATATTGAAGAGTGCCTTTGCTTAGTAGAGCATGTGTAAAAAAAGTTAAGAAACTAAAAAGTAGTATGCTTAGCGATACAAATGCATAGATAATATTGAAACAGTTTCGTCTTGATTTCTCCTCTGCGCTAAGCAAATTTAATCACACACACACACACACACACACACACACACTTTTAAATAATTAAACTAATTGTCTCACTTAAATCTAATATATTCATATATACCGTAAAATCCAGCATATAACGCACACTTTGAACACAAAAAATGCGATCGAAATATAAGGGTGCGCGTTATACACCGGGTATAAAAACAATAAGCTTTAAGAATAACGAAAAAGATGAGCATAAAAAAAATTTACTTCTACACATATCGAAATACAGTTTATTTAAAAGATATAACATACCTTATATGAATTAAAAGAGTTCTTGTTCTAGAAATATACAATTATTTCAAGAGTGGAATAATATCTCGAATAAATGACTTCAAAACATAAGAATATTGTATACTATCATTTCAGATTTCTTCGTAAAAAGCGGGGTGCGTGCGTTATACGGCGAACATACCTAAAAATTAAAAAATGCAGCTTGAAAGTATAGGAACGCGTTATACGCCAGATTTTATGGTAAATATATAAGAACGCATAATTATTTAAACATTGCCCTTTACAGAAAATGGATGAAATAAACAAATCCACCAAAAAATGGTCACGAAAAAGGGAACTGTACTTAAAGACGACGTGTGAAAATGTTGTAAAAGAAAACATCGTACATCCGAACTGGATTCTTTTGCCCAGAATAAATCACAAGTTTTCGTGTGGTCATAAGCACACACACATTTTTTTTATCAATACAAAAAATGCCTGTGAATACGCTTTATTTTATTAGTGATTGCATCTTATTTTAAATCTAATAGGGATTATACAAAAGTAAAAAGAATATAAAAAAAGAGTGGGTGGTTAAGAACACCTTCTTCTCAGGAGATGGTGGGTGGGATGAGGCTTTAAAGAACGCAGGAGGGGGAAGGGACAAAGTAAGGGGAGTTGGAAACCTCTCTCTCTATATATACTGACAATGTTAAATTGGCTGTTTGCGATGTAACTATTCTCAAAATCTGTTTCATGTACATGCTTGAAATTTTTTTTTCATGCAATTAAAGTACATCATTTTCATTATACTGAATCGAGCTTTTAGCTAATTTTGAATTTTTTAATAATTTATGAAATATTTTATCAAACATTCCAAAATTTGACCCATTTTTCATATAAAAAATGTGCAAAAAATAAATTTTTGGGTTTTTTTTATCATTTCAGTATATATTAGCCATCATTATAAATATATCATAAAAAATTTACATACCTGTGAACAGTAGTTTCTCAGAAAAGGTACATCGAACATCAAAATTTATGTTTTAAGATAAATTGGTTTTAATGTATACAGTGAGATTTCTAATCGGCTAGGAAATAAAAAAAACTAAAGGCTCAGTTTACAATAAAAGATACATGTTTTGGTTTATATCAGACGTTCAACTTTTAAGCAAAAAACGAAGTACTTTGTTTACATTTTTCGCCATTCAAATGGGCGTAACCCAGTTTCAACGATTATTTAAAAATAGGTTTTATTGACTTCTAATTACCCTAGAGGTTAAAGTAAGGCATTTTTAGAAAGGTTAAAATTTATACTTGAAAATGTAAAAATCTCAAATTGTCAAAAAAAAAAATATGATTTTGGCTTTCCACAACACCCCTTAAAGCAACTTCAGTTCAAATAAGCACGAATATTTTAAAAGTAATTCAACCAACCTCAACATAATTTTTCTAAATAACTTATTTTTTATATTATTCCAGGTTATTAAAGACAATTCCTATAACCAAGTCAAGTACAGTTTCACAGAAATAAATAATTTTTAAGCTCACTAAAGGGTTTAATTAAACGACCACGCTCTCTGGGGCTATAGAACCGCAACAAATGCCTCTTCCCCAGCTCGAACATTTTATTTTTCGAACACATTGTGATATTAACCATATCATTAAGCACTTTGTACCTCCAATCTCTCCCTTGCCATTAATCCGATAAAGCCTTAAGTACTTATTGATGACGTTCGTTAAAGTTGAGTTGTCCGTTGAGACCTGTGATAGTTCGCTGGAGAGCTTAATAGCGTCTTCATTATTCAGGAGCCTTATTTGGTCGTCTCTTGTTAATTCAAATTTAAAGATTGCTTTAATATGTGTGATGTATAGAGAGATAGATACTTGTGTGTGTGCTATCATACGCCGGAAAAGGAAGGAGGTTATTTATTTGAATTTGGTTTTTAAAAAAAATGAGATTGAATGGATTGATATTTATTTATTTATGTATTTTCCCACTTCAAAAAATTAGTCACTGACTCCGATTTTGAATGCTATTAACACAATAGTGTTTTTTTAGTCGGGTTTTTTTTCGGTAAAAGATATTTTTCAATTCTTACTATTACTTCACACTCTTCCTATATATATTTATTTACATACGATTGATTGATTGATTGAATATTAATGTCACACTGTTTAGCTACACGAGGGCTTTTGGCGACGGACCACGTAATTTTGAACCATGGTCAAGTGACGTGGACGACACCTGAGCTGGCACCCCCTCTCCTAAATACCACACCACACCAACGGGAGGACGTTTCAGCTCTCGACAGATTTAACCTGCATCGCTGCCCTACACGGCGGGTCTTTAGTGGTATTGGGCTCGAGCTCGTGACAAGGCAAGCCACGGTCCGATACCTATACCACTCGGCTACCGCGGCCGGTATTTACATACGAGGGTTGTGGCAAAAGTCATGGCAACTATTTTTTTTCTTGAAGATACCAGTCCGGTTGGAAAATGCGACATATACAGACGAAAGGACAAGGTATTAACTACATGTGTAGATAATGAATAGCGCTGAAATATCGTAAGACACTAATTTATTACGGTAGTATACAGAGCAATATGGCCTTCATAGTGCAAAAGAATGACAACACAGTACACATAAAATTGACATGACAAACCCGGGTCTAAAATTCTTCATTGTAGTCCCCTGTTACTGTCACCACACGTTGCCAACGATGTGGGAGGTGCTGAATACCATCAGCGTCAGCATTTGGCGCACCACGTAGCTCATCACTGGTTGACACACGTCCTTGTTGAAACTTTCCTACCCACCGTGCTACTGTGTGGTATGGTAGAGCATTATTCCCAAGGGCTTCCACTAATTTACTGTGACATTCCATCGCATTTCTCTCTCGGAGAACTTCTATTTTGATGCAAGAGCGCTACTCAACACGGGTTACTTCCATCTCGCACGACACTCACCAACTGACTGATTTCACAGCCCTCGCTGAGCTACTACCAACTATCACAGAGTCATATGTTGTTCTGCATACGCACTATGCCTACAGAACTTCCACTCGACACATATACGCTTGCGATCCTTCACACATCTGCAAGAAAAAAAAATAGTTGCCATGACTTATGACCCAACCCTCGTTCATATCTTGTTCAAATTTTCAATCGTTAATAAAATACTTTTTATTCATCCACTCAAGTTCAAATGCACTTTTTTTTAAACTTGTAGTGAACGACACTTGGTGTTAATACAGTTTTTTTCAAATATTAATTCATTAATTCAATTTAATTAATGAATAAAAAGTAGCAAACAAAAATAATAGTCCAACACCATATGTAAGAAGGAAAGTCGCTAGCTGTGTCCCTGTAGCGTAATGGATAGCGCATTGGATTTGTAATCCGAAGGGTGTAGGTTTGAATCCTACCTCGGATGGCCTAATTTCTGAGAATGTGTTTTATGAATGAACAAAAAGTGACATACAAAGATAATAGTCTAACACCATGCATAGAAAGGAAAATCGCTTTTTATTTTGCCACTTAATATTGCGATTCTGTCATGATTGATTGATTATTAACGTCGCACTGTTTAGCTACACGAGGTCTTTTGGCGACGGACCACGTAATTTTGAACCATGGTCAAGTGACGTGGACGACACCTGAGCTGGTACCCCTCCTCTCCTAACTACCACACCACACCAACGGGAGGACGTTTCAGCTCTCGACAGATTTAACGTGCATCGCTACCCTACACGGCGGGTATTTAGTGGTACTGGGCTCGAACTCGTGACAAGGCAAGCCACGGTCCGATACCTATACCACTCGGCTTCCGCGGCCACGTGATTCTGTCATATGTACATACATATTTATATTAATTGTATTTATTTAATAAAAAAGGAACTAAAAATAAAATATTTCTTTGTTGACCTAAGTATGAATTGACTTAATTTTTTTTTTAAAATTTTACTTATTTGTGTTAAAAGAGGGCCAAATTTTACGGTGAGTATGAGGGGGTCGTTTTTGTATCATTGAATTAAGTAATATTCTTGGGCAATTAATAATAATCTTTGCTCATAAATTATACTACGAGTACTTTCTTATAAAAAGATAATGATTACAATTGTGCTCTTTAGTAGCGTACACACATTTCCTTACTGAGGGAGGAGAGGAGTTACGTTCTAAACAAGTAACATAAAAAAACAATATTTTTAAGTCAATTTCAACTTAGATCAACAACGAAAAATTTTATTTTAGCTACTTTTTATTAAATAGTTACGATTAATATAAATATGTATATACATAGGACAGAATCACAATATTAAGTGGTAAATAATTTTTATTCATTATCATTAAAGTATCGTATTGTCATCCAAAACAATCGTGTCTATAAAATTTCAGTTCAACTGAATAATTTAAAACGTGAGAAAAAAAAACCTTTTCAAGTTTTGGCACAAGTCGCCAAAAATGATGCAAATGAGTCTCTGTGTGTGTGTATTTGTAATTCTTTAAATAATTAGTTTTAATCAATTAATTTGTATTAATTACAATTAAATTATTATATTGTCATCCAAAATAATCATGTATATAAAATTTCAGCTCAATGGAGTGCTTTAAGATGTGTCTTATTATAACGATTGAATATTACACCAAGATAATTAAATAGATATATAGAGAGTGTGAGCTGATAGTAGGAATTGAAAAAGTACATAGATGAAAACTCTAAGGGGCAATCTGTATAAGAATTAAAATCTGTAGGTCTATGAAAGAAGGAAGGAAATGTTATTGAAATTATTTGATATGTTTATAAAATTATATAGAGCAAAGATAAGTGTTTTTTGTGCTTTTGTAAATGCCTTTAAAATTATAGCCACTTACATTAATATTTATTTGAATTTATTTTCTGATTAATTTAAAACATTTTTTTTTATTTATTTTATTTTTTTTATTTTGCATTTACATTTCAATTTTGAAATAAACACTTTGAAAAATACACTTGGATATCTTAGTTATTTGTCAACGAAACTGATCTCAGGTTTGCCAAAAATCTCTTCAACAAATATTGCTAAAATTTCATGTAAATTATATATTATTTAGTAATACATGCTCTAGTAGTATAATAGGAACATAGTACTTAGCATAACACACGCACACATACACAGCACCCGCGCACACACATCACGTTCGCAAAGATTCATTTGTATATTTATTCTTATATAAAACAATCAATATAAATTTTTTTTTAAGTCAATTCCTACTTAGGTCAACAAAGAAAAATTTAATTTTTTAGTTACTTTTTATTAAATAATTACAACTAATATAAATATGTATATACATATGACAAAATGACAATATTAAATGACAAAAAAGAAAGCGATTTTCCTTGCAATTTTCCATTTTCCTTTCTATATAGGGTGTTGGACTATTTTTTTCTGTTTATTACTATTTATTTATTCATTAAATTTAATTATTCCAATAAAATAATATAGTAAAAAGAAATCACATTCTCGGAAATTAGACCAACCTAAGTGGAATTCGAATCCACGACCTTTGAATGAGTAGTCCCACATACTATCCATTGCGCTACATGGACACAACGAGCGGTTTTCCTTTTTATATATGGTGTTGAACTATTATTTTTGTTTATTACTATTTATTCATTAAGTTTAACAAATAAATTAATATTTGAAAAAACTGTTTTAACATCAAGTGTTATTCGCTGCAAGTTAAAAAAAATGTATTTGAACTTGAATGGATGAATAGAAAGTATTTTATTAACGATTGAAAATTTGAACAAGATATATATATATATATATATATATATATATTGTTCTATATATATATATATATATATAGGGGATGTGAAAAAAAATAATAAGAATTGAAAAAAAAACCCCCCCCCCCCCCCCCAATATTTTTTGCATTGATTTTATTTTTATTTCCCTGCATTTCTTTCCAAGACTACATTTATTAAAATTCAATAAAAATTTTAGAAAAATTTTCTTTTTTGAACAATAATTCCTTATTAATCGATATGTCACGAGAAAAAGCGTGAATTTAACTTTCTCTAAATTTTATGGACCTGCTTGCTTGATTGACTTTTTATTCACGTCACACTATGAAGCTACACGAGGGCTATTGGTGACGGACTTCGCAATGTTGAACCATGGTCAAGTAATGAGGACGAAACCTAAACTTTGGTGGTTTCCAGTATGTTATGCAAGAGACATTGGTTTTTTTGATAAGATTTTATACTCTAACATTTTTACAATATTAAAAGGATTCAAGTTTTCGTAAATTTCTAACATTTTGTAATGTAAAAGGCTTAAATACTTGCTGATACACCCGTTCTTAGCACGGGTAAATCGAAAAATTAAACAATACAAATTGAATGATAAAGAAGTTTTTAATGAGTTAATTTTACGTAAATTGCAAATTAAACAACAACAAAAAAAAAAAACAAACAAAAAAAAAAAAAAAGCTTTTTGCTTATTTCAGCTGAGCCAAAATGCATATCTGTTAAATTGTAAGTCTGAAGATCTAATAGCTGATAAAAAGGATTTTTTTTTATTGATAACACCTCGTAGCTCTCTTGTGGGTCGATTTTTGAAAACACCTTGCTAAGCTGATCTCTGCTGAGAGAAAGTAACGCATTGTTTCACATTTTGTGTAATGAAAGCTTAAAATAGTGTAAATAATTTGTATTTGGATGTCTAATACGTTAATATCAGTTTCTGTTGTATTTATTTTATGTTAAAATTGTTATATTCGCAAACAACGGCGTTCTTTACATTATAATGGCGACTCAATGGAAACGTAGCGAAATGTTCATGATAGAGCCAAATTGGCATCATTTTTGGCAAACCTGTTGGCAATTTGGCGATTGATCGAACGGTGCGGAAGTTGATATGCTGCAGCGCTACCTGGTGGGAGTTGCAACAAAGAGGATAGCACAAAAACTTGCTCCAAAAAAATAAAAAATACATTTACAAGCCAATTTTCATAGTGATCGGTTGAACGGCGTTGGAGTGAAACAATGCCATACAAACATACATTTTTATATAGTGTATTGATTAAATAAATTCAAGCTTTTGTAACTTTCTAATATTTTGTAATGTAAAAGGCTTATATAACATATACGATAATAATCATTATAAAAAAACGCATTTTTTTTTTTATCACGGTTTGCTATAGTTTATGGGTTCTTAAGCAAGCATCGGGGATATTCTGAAAGAAATAGCAAAAGAGGAATTGAGTTATTTCTTGAGCAAATGTCATAAAACTTTTAGTGCGCAGTTAAATTCTTATTTCAGCAT